TCCATGCAAACCCAATGTGTAACTGTGTTTTGTTAACCGAAGATTGCCCAGCCCTTCAAGGTGTGAACTCTTTTGCTGGGTTGGCTCTATACCTGTATGGTACATGTGTTAATTATTTCTTGTGAACTTAAAAGTGAGAGACTCAGTTTTGCAGTCAAAAATGGAAATGCTATAAAATACTGTATACTTCAGGTTTCCAGAATAATAGGTATTGTATCTGGGGTTTAGGCTGTTTTACTCTGTAGCACAAAAGCTTTTTATTGTGCCATTTCTCACCCTCCACCCCATTTTTGGCATTTCAAAATGCTAGGGCTTTTTTTCCCCTGGCATTCTTTTAGTGAGTCACGGGGTGTAGTATGATTTTGATTGTAAAATTAATAGTAATCTGCTTCAGAATGGCTTTACAATGAAAACTTGTAAAAGGAAAAAAAATTAATCATTCAGCATTTTATAAAAAAAAAATTTTAAAGGAAAAGTAAAATAAAAAAAAAACTTTGCTTTTCTTGGCTACCAAAAAAAANCAGCCACAGGAGATAATCAGTACTGGATAAAAGATTTTCCTACATTGACTGCAAGACATTAATTCTTGGGTTTGCTGTTTGTTTTTTGTTTGTTTGTTTGTTTGTTTTTGCAAGTACTTTTGATATTTTGTAAGCTGAACTTGTGCAACAAAAAATTTAAAGAAGCTCTCTTTAGGTCTCATAACAAATTGTTAAGAATGTGTTCATTTATTTATACTAAACAGCTAGTCCTACTTATTCTGTTTCTTTGAGCATACATGCTAGTCTGTAGTATGACCATCCTAAAATAACTTTTCCCTCTTGTTTAACAAGGAAGAAGCGCTGTTTTTAGCACTGTTTTTATACTGTATTTTTACAGTATTAAATAGATTTCAATATTATAATCTCTTCTATTGAAGACTGAAGTTTAAAGAAAATTAAACTAATGCAGATTCTTTCCATCATTTAATAGTCAGTTGTTCCAAATATAAAATTAGAATCCACTAAATTCCGAGCATTGGATCTGTCAGGGCACAAGTTCTGGGACAATGGTTCCTGTTATAGAGTTCTGGCCTGAATTTCTGGCCTGAGAGTGTGGTAATTTCCATGGTTTCACTTCTCTTCTTCTAAATCTTTTGAAACTGAAGACATTTTTTCTTGTGTGCCTTAACTTTTTTTTCTTTCTGGGAAGATGCATGGTGGTACTGAATGAGAATACTATTCTAACTAATGAAGTAGACACTGAATAACTGGATTTAAATAGAGTTTTATGTCCTTTATATGCTTTTGTTTCAAATGCAAATTTGATTAAAGCTTTATTTCTCAGAGTTAAGCATATGCTACATTACTGAAATAAAATATTTAATAATAAAATGGCAGACTTTTGTGTCTCTTGATCACCAGTACTTCTGCTCTGTCAGTGAGTAGGGAAGGAAGCAAGAAGAATTAAAGATGATAAATGACATAGGAAGAAAGCAAAAGAGTGTGTTAAAATCATCATATTCTTTAGGGTTTATATCTGTACAAGCCATTATATGATATGAGAATATGGGTACAGAGGTGGGGCTTCAAAGACCTAACAAACTTGTTCTACCATGGAGGGATAGTCATTCCATTTTCTGTTTCATACAGCCACCTGTACTGGGTGACAGCATGTGTTTCACTTGAATGCCTCAGAATTCAGATATCCCAAGGCAGACTAGATCATCCTGCTCTGGACATTTAGTGCATTTGGGGTTTTGCTTTTGTTTTTAGTAAAGGCCAGATGATGTAAGAAGAAATGTTATGACCAGAGAACAGGAAATGTGATTCTCTGTTGCTTGTCAGTGCTATTGACATCTGTTGTAGAAGTGATTTGACATACTCTATGGAATAGAATTGTAAATACACTATTCTGCCTGCCACAGAGTGCTCGCTGATAGAGCTGTGAGTAGGTGCATAATGAATCATATCCTAAAATAAAAGTCCCAATGCACAAAATAGCACACCTATTAAAAAGTGTTTTGCTCCACCCTCCTGTCCAGAATATTAGAGTGATTCATATGAACCAAAGTATACATTTCTGTATGTTTTAGTAAGTATACTGAAATAAAAAACATTTCTGGTTTTGTTCCTGAGAAAAAGCTAACAATTAATTTCCTCAAGCTAACAGTATTTACACTTCATGCTTAGGAGAATGCTTGACTTATACCAACAATGCAATGGGACAAAATTATTACAAATCTGCTTGGACATTTAGTATTTGGTGGGGTGTTTCACCAAATACTAAACATAGGCAACTTTTTCTGCTTTTAAAGTCATGCTATAGCAAGGTCACTCTATAGTGTCTTCCAGTCTGTATAAGCTGCAGGCTCCAAATTAATCTTTTCAGCTGGCTCTTTGGAAGGGTCTCCAAACATGAACTTTCTTATTTGCTCTTGGAAGATAAATTTATCCCTACTTACCTGTATTCCAGGGCAGCTGTCAAGCTCATTTTTACATGGAGTACAGTGGTGAGCACAGAGTACAATGCAGCTTTTCACTTGTTGCTTCACTACGTAATGTCTTTACAGGTTCATGCAGAATTATACTCACACAAATGAAATGGTTTTTAATCAGTGTGTGAAGATGCAATCCAAGTAGAAGATACGATTTAACACATCCTTTCTCCCAAAAAATCTTAACTAGCCCTCTGTGACAGTTTGAAACAGTTCTATATAAATTAATATTGTGTCTATGTGAATTTGAAAAGAGATTGAGTAGAGCTGGTGAACAATAAGCAAAAAAAGATTCTTCTGGACCCACTGAGTGTACTGGGGAGGAAAGATGACAACGCATCAAAAAGTGGGATAGAGAAAAGGGGTGTGGCAGCAAGGAACAGAACAGCTGAAGCAGAGATTGAAACACTGTTAGGGTGGCCAGGAAATAGACCCGCAGCCAGCTGTTTGTGCTCATGATAAAAACTTCCTAGAAACCTGACCTGCCATGCACTGACAAACAGGGCAGTGGGATACTTAAAAGTCCTTTAATTTTCATATTTTCTTGCATAGTACTTTTCAGATTTTTCTCTTTTAGTTGTTCATTCTCTAGAATAGATATTCCAAGTTTCAAAGCTGTTTAGAACCTTCTTATAGATAAGATGTAATAGAATGGTCTAAGCAAATCTCCCTCAAAACCTTTTTTTTTTGGTGGTTGTACTGGGTTTATACTTTAAAAGGTTCCTACTGGAGTATTTTCCACTTTGTAACTCTTTAAAACAATTGCATTTTTGTAGATTTAATTGGTGTAAGAGTCACTTTCAAGTGTTTCTTCAGTTTATATGGGAAAGATATAAGGCTCTTATGGCTCACTCTTTTGCTTAGGTTTAGAAGATTACATCCTATTTTAAATATTCACCATAGCCTATCCTTAGGAGGAGGCAAGATCTCAGTCTATCAGTAAATGTACAGATGTTTTATCCCTTAAAAATTTGAAAGGCACATTAAACATAGCCAATTCAAAATGCTTTGGAGTAAAACACTAGAAAAATGCTTTCAAACACTTCTTGCTTGGTATCACAGTGGAGTCTCTAACATAGTGGGAAGTCAGGAGAACAGGAAAACATCGTTTTTGAAAAGGTGCTTTTTCTGTGGCATCAGTATTCAAGCTCTTGAGTAACTAAAATGATCAAAACAGAGGATACTTGGCCATTTCCCCTCTGTTATTGGTAGTCTAGAGATTTCTGGTTAATAATTACTTTTTAATATTTTCTGGCCATTATTACAGTTATCTTCCACTTTAGTTGTTTTAGAATTTAGTTAATTTTTGGGTTTGCATTGGTACTTTCTCCCCAGGGTTTCTGCCATTTTATCTTTAAACTTGTTTTTGCTATACTACTTGACCTTTCTGACCCTTTACAAAAGTATCTTTTAATATGTCATGTGTCAAAACTCCTGTTTCATAGAATATTTTAGGTTGAAAAAGATTTCTGCTATCATCTGGAGTTACACATCTGTACAACCTAATTTTAGTTATTTTTAGTGTGTTACACATAATCACAGTATTTCAGATAAATTCCATTTCCTATACAGGCTAGAATATTCTTGTTTCCTGAATACCTTTTGCTTACCAAATCCTTATCACCACTTAAATACTCTTTGCTACCCACTGCTTATCACCGTCTTGAAACATCTCACAGACTTGAAAAATATATGACAGGACCAAATGTCTTCTGTGTCCTTTCTAGTTGGATGAATTTCTTAAACTGATTCCTGATAGTGGCTTCTCCACCACTGTGTTGTTTTGTACTCTGAGTAATAAAAAGATGTTCTTGAAGGCATAACATTTAACATTAAAAACAAAACAAAAAAAAAAAAAAAAAAAAGAGGGAAAAAATGTAGGATTGGTTAAAGTAGCAGAATATTGAAACCATAATTTCTGTTGGGTTTTTTTCCTGAGATGAGTTTGCAAGTGCTTCTAGTTAGTCAGGTGATGGTATGGGTGGACTCTGATAATGTGGAAGATTAATATGTCTGCTTAGTTACCTTTCAAAGACCAAGTCATCAGCTATTGACTTTCAAAATCTGATTGAAAAGGAGGTTTGCAGTTTTGGGGTGAGGAATGGGATATCAACTCTCTTCAACTGTGCAGAAAATTAGGGGGGAGGGGGAGAAAGATTTAGATTTTGTACAAATGCAACATAACCCCATAATAGAATTTATTGTTCATTATACGAATGGATTCCAATCTTATAGTTGCAACAGAAATATTTTTAATTATTTTGCACATAGACCTTTTGACTGATGTTTATTTTGCATTTACTGTAAACTCTGCTGTCATGAACATTTGCAGTCCAAACAGCTGTTGGGTATCCATTGTTTCATTTGTGTGTGTCACAGTTTTAAGCTGAGTGAATTTTGGCCTATCATTTGTAAGGTGTTGTCAGTTGAAGTAGTGAGGAAGGCAGCTCATGAATATATCTTACTTTTTCTCCATACTCAAGCAAAATTTTGTTTTCTCTCTCCCTTCTGTGCATTTAAACAGGAGGACAGCTGCCTTCAGATGGTACAGAACTCACTGACAGTTGCTCTTGCTTCAGATCACTTCATGAGAACTTCAGAAGTTACTAACTGAGGTATTTATTTGTTCTTTTCATTTTTTTCAAGTTTTAATTTTGTAGAAATTAGTTACAAGGAAGAGCAGGACAGAGACATCTAGAGTAGTGAAGAGAAATCATATATGGAAAATAGCACAAAGTTCTGTCATAAAGAGACCTACTGGGTGATAGCTTTCCATATGCCTTTCAATAGCTAGGCACTATGTTAGTCAATCTTTTTTATATGTTTAGAAATCAAATACATACAAATATGTCAAAAGAAAACATGTTATAAATGCAGTTAAACACATTGGGGTTTTGAGAATAGTTTTATCTGATCCTCTAATTTTCTCCAAGAATGGGCAAAAGATTTTGCAGAAAATCTCTAGACATGAATACCTAATTACCTAAATAATAAACCTTTCAAAACTGTCCATCATTTATAGTTTTCTTCCTCTAATATTTAAAAGGAACTTCAGTTAAAGAAAAGCTTTGGTATTAACACAACATACAAATGCTTTCCTCACACTTTCTTTCATACAACCCTGAGATTATATATAAAATCTGTTTTAAAAATATTGATGAATATTTTTATTGCAAATATTTGTCATTTTTGGTAGATATCAGTGAATTAATTTCTTTGCAGAGAAAAGAACAGCATTTGTATATGTAAACAAAGTCTGATAAAGGATTTATGGCCATAGAACTCATGAAGGAAAAAAATTATCTTGTAAGCCTGTGATCAGCTGGATTTGTGTCAGTCCTAAATTTATGATCTGCAGCTGTTAAATGTGTGATAGGAGCTTTGTCTTCTAAGGCGTGATAGGCGTGATGACAATGTGAGCACAAGACTGGAAAAAAGCAAACATAGTGCTTTGAGAAATAAAATTGTCCAGATGTGGATGATGTTTGCAATGCTTCTCATAGCACAAACCTTTTATTCTGTAAATCTTACAAATGTATATTTTAATGCTTTTAAATTGTGGAAAGCTACCGGCACAGATTCTAACATATCTGAGGTGGAACAAGAAGTATGCTGGTCAGTGTTTGTGTAGGCAATGTAATGTAAGCAGTGCCAGGCTGGAATTCTTTTTCTGTATTTGAGAGCTCAAAGCTTTAATGATACTGGGAAAAAAAAATAAAAAAGGATGTCTTGTAACTTCAATAACGTCTGAAATCTGAAAATATGTAATATATGCAACTTTTTTTATATAGCTCCTAGTATTTATGTGTGTCTATGCATATATATGAATCTGTATTTTAGATACCAACATAGGCTTAACTTCTTGGAAAGATTGGTAATTGTTATTATGGTTCTTCTATAAAATGTACATGTGCTATTATAGGTATATTACAGTATCTGTATTTCCTTTTTTAAAGAGACTTTTTATATGCTGGCCAGTATATATTATAGCTAGAATAATGTTAGCATTAAAATGAAAAGTTTTCAGAAAATGAACTCTTAAAATTCAGTTGGAATGTTACATACAGATTCAGAAAAGAAAGCAGAAGTCTTTTTTGATTCTAATTTTGCATTGAGTGCTGTTAGCAGCCAGCTCTGATAATGGATTTTACATGCAGCTTCTATAAAATGCTCAGAGTCTCAGATTTTAATAAAGTAGTTGGTGTTACGTGACAGGTTGAGCGATTTCAGTGCACATTATGGATTGGTTATGTCTTACCATAAGTTCATTTCTGGAGTCAGTACACAACTGTTTTAGCAGTAGAATTAACCGCTTATGTCACAGATTATAATTAGCTGTGTCTGTGTGCCAGAGCAACAGGATGGAATGCAAAACATAGCCAAACATGTGAACGAATTTTCTTCCAGTGATATTTGGCCAGACCTAAAATATCTTCCACTCCAGATCTGAAAGTAGTGGAAAAGTTAGACAGTTCTCTCTTGGAAAGAGACTGTAGTTTTTTCACAAGTCCACATTGTTTCAAATCTCCAAGGTAAGTAGCAATTTTTAAAATTTATTTGTATATTTGTATTAAAACATTAACATGTTAACAAATGAGTTCTTTTTGTTTGTTCTTGCTACATGGTTGTATTGAGCTTCTCCCTGTCTAAGTTTCTGTGCAACATTTCAGATGGATTTTGTCCTTATTTAAGGATCATTTTGATGCTTATGTGGTTTGTTTTAGGGCCTAAATTATGTGTTCATTTTTAACTACAATTATTATTATTGATTCAGATAGTTTATTTATACTTGTTTTTACAATTAAGTGCAATATTAAGTTATAAATCGGCACTTCTGTAATATTAAGAAGCTAAAGTAGAAATTTTAAGTCTAGTAACTTTTAAATCTTTTACAGTATCATGTTACTGTACTTACATAAATATCTGATTTGCAGTAGTAAACCTCTGATGCTTGTAGCTGTATATTTCTCTCAGTTTATCACATACTAAAAGTTAAATTTAGTCAAGAATGGATCCATGGTTCTGCTGAACACTTTTTGCTTGATTGTGGGATAAAACCTCCCACCTGAGGAATAGTTACAAAATTGTTTCTAACTTCTGGGAAGCATACTTAAATTTATATAGGGCATTTAATAATTTGTGTACAGAACTTGTTTCGCAAGTGTATAATCGCCTTTAATTCAAATACATTTTCTTGTGGATAATTTCTCTGCCTGAAAGAAAATTACCAACTAGGTATCAGTGGGTTACTGACTCATTATCAAATGATTTATTGGATGATACTTGGTGTCTTGCCACCAACAGGTGCTTACACCGCATATGTAATCATGAATCTGGATAAGCACATAAGTTTCTAAAACAGGATATCGCCAAAGTATAGGAATGTGATTTTAAAGCATGAACAACAGTCAGCTAGGGTCCTTTTAGCTAGATATGGGTGTTTTTACTGTATCTGTCTTAAATCTCCTCCTACTTCTGGAGGAGATGAATCACATCCTAGAAGTGTCTGTCTATTTCCATTTTCTGTGGAGGGGGCCTAGGTGAGTGTGGCTGATGTTCCCTGTGTTTGGAGAGATGACTTTTGGTCTGCACAGCCACTTCCAAATGAGTAGTCCATTTGAGTGAACTATAGGATCTTTGTACCGTACAGTTCTGGAAGTTTGCCATGAGTTAAGATTTTGGAACTTTTGTTTGTGAACAGTCACAAGTGATGCCACTTTGGCTGAGATGGATTTCTGTTTATCTTCTGAACAAATGTATACACCCCTCCTTTCTATTATGTAATGAAGAAAAAATGCTCCTGGAATACCACCAAAGGATAAGAACAACTGCACGGGGTTAAATTAAAAGAAAAAGAGTCTAAATTAAGCCCAGCATTAGAGGGAACCACTTAAAATCTCTTTTCCAGACCTTCATGCTTTTGCTTGCAGCATGCAGCTCTTTTCTGGTTGAAAACTCAGTGGTTCAAAACATGTTATATTTTGAGTTTTATTCATAATCATAAGACACATAAAATTATGTGTACAAAGATATTCTTGCTTAAATAGCCTCATGAGATTTTTTTCCTTCTTGTGGAAAGTAACACCTTGTACATGAAATACAAATCCCAGGTCTTAACCTCTTACTGGTTTTAATTATTTTCATGACTTGGAATTAAGTAAGCTAGATTTCCTGTGGACTTATTTCTCAGAGTTGATTGTCTTACATGTTTAGCGAGCAGTGACTGAAGGATTTTTGTAACAGAGACATTTACAAGGTCTTTTTCTCACTTCAGTTTTCTGATATTTTATAAGGTTTTCATGCCCATTGCAGTCCCTAAGTAAAGACATAAACGGGGATTCTTATTTTCTCTGTTAGCTCATTTTCAGGAAGATTGCAGGAATGCAGTATTTGAGGCATCTGCTTGTCTGTTGAATTTAGTTGAAATTGGCCAAGAAACTCAAAAATTATTGGAGGAGGTAGGGAAAATGAATGGGAGACAGAAGATTTATAGATTGACAAAGGATTTGGTTGCCTTTTTATTTATGAAACCAGGCTAAAAGCATCATGGCAGTTTGGATAACAGGTTAATTCAATATCCTGGTCAAATTTTCAGCTTGGGTAATAGTATTCTCACTATTTAATTAATCATAGCTTTGGCTACCTGGGCCAGTCTTCTCATTAAACCTTTCTGAATATCTGCCAAAAGCTCTTAAACAGCTGCTGCATTTCATGCCATGGTTGGTTATGTTTCTGTGGTGGATGAAGTCTGTATAACACTGAAAAGACAAATATAAATTAAAATATATAAATACTTTTTAAATGGAGTGTGGTATGTACTGAAGTGTTGGATAATGCTGATGGCACTCATAAAGCACATGCTTTTCAATAAGGTGTATGTTTGTTTGTGGATATGAACATCCTGAAGGTTGCCTGTAAGACTCAGGTATATATGGATTTTCAATTAAGGGAAATAGGGATCGTCTTGTAGTAATGACTGTTAAAACTCTTCAGTTCCTTTTACTGAGAGCAACACTCAGTTGCTGTGCTGTCAGTGCTCTTAGGAACAGAAGTTTTAGTACCTTTGCTTTACCTTACCTTTTCCCAGTATTCCAAGTGCCAGATACTAAATTTTATACAGACTTTTTGCATCCTTGCTTTATTAGTTGTGGATACTAGTGGCTTTCAGAAAAGGCTGACAGTGTTGAGTACAACAGCCTGTTTTATGTTAAAGATTTGCGTAGATCCTACCTTGAATTTCCAAGCTGTTAGAACTTTCTGAGAGAAGCATGCAGGCTCCTGATGGAAGTAGACATGTCAGCAAAGTTCCACTGCACCCGATTTCCTTAGTTTTGGTGAAGAGGATTTTAAGTGAGAGGCAGTAATAATTAAATAAAAAGGCATGTTCTTGTGACTCCAGACTGCTGAAAACAATAAAATGCAAGAGTTTCTTAAAAAAGAATGTAGGTGGAATGAAGTGGAAGCAGTAGAGCACAGCTGTGGTAATGAACCCTAACCACAGACCAGGATACATTAGCAATGCTTTAGATATCAAGCTCCTTTCAAAGACCTCTTCCAGTCTAGCTTTGAACTGGAATAAATAATCTCTAGAGGTCCATTGCAGCCCAGTTTTTTCCTAGGATTCTCAGAATTTTCCTAACTATTCACTTTATTGTTATTGTTAATTACCTACTGATTTTGTGTAGTCACCTGGCTGTCTTACTAGCTGGTCCAATCGACAGTGCTTCAGAGTTCATGGAAAAGGGCATCATAATTTAATAAATATTTCATATTGGTAGCTAGCAGCATTCTCAAGCCATGTAAAGTTGCTGTAAATCAATGAGAATTAACTGTAATATTTGACTTTTACTTGGAAATACAAGGAAGGAAATAGATGGATTCAGAACTTAAAGCTAAAAAACTAACAGTGAGTATTACTTTAATATCAGCATTCCCTATGAGCTGAAAAGCCATGGGAAGATATTTGTATGCCTGGCAGAAAAGGTTACTGTTATTGATTGCCTGAGTGAAAGTTTTCACAGTAGGGATAATAAAATGATGAGACAGATTTCAGTACGTGAAGGAAGAAGAGGCTGATTTGAGTTTGGCCTGAGTGCCAAAGAAGAAAGTGAGCATGGTGAACAATCCCAAAAGCCTGCATGGTTGAAACCGAGAAGGCAGTGTCAAGTTTGTTCCCTCCACGTTCACATGACAGGGTCCTGATATGCATTGTGACTTTGCAGTACACCCCAAGACTTCTAGCATATATTCTGGTGCTGCAAAAAGTCATATTTGAGGGCTGAAGTGGTCCGAGTTTCCCCAGAGGGTGCCTAGAGCCATGTCTTACGTAGTATGGATGGGTGTGGCATAGAATTTTGTGGAGGTGGAGCCAAACCCTTTGTAGGGTGGGCAGCAATACCCAGACCAGGTAGTCCTGTGCTGCCCATGCTACTTTTCCGACTATTTTTCTTGTCTTAAGTGCTCAAACAGACCTGATGTAGCCTGTAAACCAAAAACTTGCCTAATTTTCAGCCCTATTGTTTAGTATAGGAAAAGATTTTTTTTTTCCAGCCTCAACACTTCTCTTCCCTGTAACATTCCACTTCTAGTTTCATTCTGTTGTGGTAGGTATTTCCCACTTAAAGAGAATACTGATGATGTCTGCTGAAAACTGTTATCTTACTTAAACACGGAACTGCACTACAAAATAGTTTATTTAGTTTTGAATGATTTAATGAGTCATTTGATAATTATGTTCAATGCAGGTGTAAAGATAGTGCTTCCAAAACCAGAAATGCAGTTATTGTATTAACAAAGTTGTATAAGACCGTTAATGTATTGTCCTAACAGAGTAAAAAGCATTTCTTAGCTATATTTGATAAAAATATGGTATTTATTTGAGTACCCTCCATTCTTTCTGAATTGAATATTTTGTTGAAATTCTGTTAGTAACAACTTTCACAATCTATGAGAGTACTTACTTTTTAAATATATATTAAAATGTTACTGATTTTGCTTTTAGGTAAACATCTGTTGAATTGATAGTATTGTGATTCACACTTGGTGATTTGTTTTAACTGATTTTAGTCACATTTATGAAAGAAAAAGCTGTATGCCTTTAGTCATATTGAAAATATCTAAAATACTATTTAAATTGGAAACATTAGTATGACTGTCTTCCTGTATCAGAAATCCTGAGGCACCTAATAATAAATGGCTTTAAGTCAAGAAAAATGCAAAGCTAGCATTCAAAAGATTATGTACCTTTAATTTAGGATTGTTTGGTAAGCAAAGCATATAAATGGCTAGAATGCAAAATAAGATAAAGGCAGCAGAAAGCAAAATTAATCAATATTCCTTTACATTAGCAAAAGATTCCATCTTTTGTTACCTTTTTCTTCTTTTATTTTTTACTTTCTTCAGCATCCCTAGGTACTTTCTCATTCTCCCCATATTTTACAGTCTCCACTTACACATCTCGTGTTCATTTCCTGAGTGTGCTCAGTACTTAACCTTTTTCTCTTACCCTCAAGTGTCTACTCACAGTGTTTAT